GAAAGATAGATCTACTCCTCTCTCTCTCGCTCTGAAAGTTCGAGCAAAAACATATATTCTATACATTCCCTATTCGCCGCAGTAAGTAAACGGCGTCGAGTTCATTTTCTTTATCTTTCCTTTACTTCGTTCATTCTTACTTAGGACCTCACTCCTTGGTCGATATCAGACCTAGACTGCGCGCCCTTTCTCAACTCATCCTCGTTCTAAATAACCATCGCGACCTCGCGCGACGACGACTCCCGCGCCGGCCTGCATGATTACTTCGCGCGCATGCACGTGCGGAGCGCGAGTATGAGGAGGGCATGAGGGGGCGACGGTCGCAGGTGGATGTGCCGCTGGTGCCAGGGGGGAGGGTGCATCGGAGTATTGATATTCCGCGGGGGGACCGGGGGTTGGGGATTGGGGGGGGTGGATGAATGGGGGGTTGTTCTTTTTTGGCTTTTTTTTTGGTTCTTTTTTGGTTCTTTTTGTTTTTTGGTTCTTTTTTTGGTCATTTGGTCATTTGGTTTTGTGTTGATTTGATGTGTGGTGTGGGGTTTGGTTCTGGGTTGGGTTGTATGGTATGGATATTTTGTATTGTATGTGTATGTGTATTGTGTTGTGTTGTGTGTATGTATGTTGTATATACGGGATATATATATGGGATATGAGCGGGGGGGATATTTTGGTATTTGGGACAATATGGACAAATCTGTTGTTGTTGTGGGTTAGTTTTATTTTATTTTATATTTAATTTGACAAATTATGGGATTGCAACTATATGAAACATAATATGAAATAATGACAAGGAGTTGTGAAAATAGATCTCATTGTTTTCTTTTTGTCATTTCCATGCATCGGGTATATATATACACTCACACACACACACACACATATATATATATATAAGCCCCTGTTTTTCTCTCCCCTCCCCCATCCTCCATCCCCATACAAACCCCACACCAGCACCGTGCCTCCAAAGACTACCATACCCATATCATATATCCCACCATAGACACCATCACTTCAACCACGAATCATCCAACTCCCCAATCTCCACATCCCCCAAAAAGTCGCCCGCATGTCCACCCCCGCCGCCGTCGCCGCCGCCGCCCCCATCCCTACCCCCATCTCCACCACCCACAAACAAATCATCAAAACTCGCTCCCTCCGCGTGTGTCGGCGGCGGCAGGTCGTCCATGTTGATGTCCATCCCTCCTCCTCCTCCTGCTGCTGTTGAACCCGCATGCGGCATATTCATGCCCATATTCATGCCCATACCCATACCCATACCCATGCCCATGCCCATGCCCATGCCCATGTTCATGTTCATGAAGAAGGTGTTATTGTCGATGTCCTGGTTCTGATTTTGCGTCTGGTGGTGTTGGTGTAAGGCACCCGCACCAGCGGTATCAGCGGCGCCAACGCCAACGCCACCGCCCAACCCCTCAAAACCAAACTCATCTACCGAGACGGCGCTGGCGTAGCTTTCTAGGCCGGGTAAGAGGGACAAGAGGGGGTTGCTGGGGGGTGGAGTATTATTATTATTATTATTGTTATTCTTAGGAGTAGTGCTGGAATTGGGGTTCGGGTCTGGGTTCGGGTTGGGGTGATTATTATTATCATTATCGGTATTGTTAGTGTTGTTGTTGTTGTTGGTACCAAGCCCCAGAAAAGCCTGGTTCTCAGCTTCGTCGTCGTTATTGTTGATGGTGGTGAGGTCGTCGGCGGTGAAGGATAGGGGGATGTCGAGGTTGTTTTTGGCATTGCTGTTGTTATTGTTATCTGCGGGAGTGGAAGTGGGCGGGAAGAGTGAGTCGAAGGTCATTGAGTCCATGGCGGGATGGGGGTGGGGGTGGGCGGCTGTGGTTGTAGCGGGGAGAGGTGGTGGCGCAGACGCAGACGACGACGGCTGCTCCCCCAGACGGGCCCCGGCCTTCGACCCGTTCGACGACACTTGTTGCTGATTCTGAGTTTGATTTCGCTTTTGCGGCTGCATTTGAACAGCCGCAGAAGACTGTTCCTGCTGCTTCGAAGGGGCAGCAGCAGTAGCAGTAGTAGAAGCCGGAGCCTGCGACGTCACAATATCATTACTCGCCATTCCCTCATCCTTTGCCGCATGCACAGCAGCAGCAGCAGCAGCAGCAGCATTATTATTACTATTCTCATCTCCCAACGCACCACTCTTCAGCCTCAGGAGAGACTTGCGTCGAAGGGCGGCGTCATAGTCGCGCTCGAGGAATGCTTTGGCGATATACTGGACACGTATTAACATTAATTAGCATTGGTATTTGTATTCGTAGCAAACGATCACAAAAGGATAGAGGATAGAAGAGAATGGATAGGGCTATATAACAAACATACAATCTGCTCCGACAAGTCATCCAAAGCCTGCTGGAAGTGTTCGTGGGCGAGGGGCAGGGTGCGTTTGAGCTGCGTGCGCGATTGCATGGTGGAGCCCGATGACCGGAAGAAACGGCCTGTCTCGATGAGCTGGTGTAGGGTATTGAGAAGTCAGCTTGGTGTAGGTTTTCTGTTATATATATATATATTGTATAGGGAAAGGAAACTGGATTATATGTACTGTCTGGTTGACCATGGCCGTCAGAGTGTCCAGTGACTGATCGCGGGACTGCTGCAACTGCGATTGCGACTGGGATCCGGGTAGAGTGGCTGACATGGTTTCGTAGAAGAGGTTTGGTCTTTTCGGGGGAGATAGAATACGAAAATTCGGGGTCGTCTTCTGAGTCGTTCATATAGATATTATTGTATGTACTCCGTATTGAAGACAGAGGCGGGGGGGTTTATGTTATAGGGCTTCGCAGAGGGCAGACAAGCCAATTAGCTACGCTACGGGTAACTATTGGACGCGAGTGTTAGTAGAGAGGGCGTCCAATCCAGGCATCATTGGCACTTACCCCTTTTAAAGCGATGGATGACAGATGTATGTATGGATATCAGGAAGGGTTGGTTGGGGTATCATAAACAGCAAAATTGAACCACAAATAGTTCTGGAGTCAAATCACCCATGCAAGATCCAAGGTTGAGGAGGAGGAGGAAGGAAGGAAGGAGGAAGGAGGAAGGAGGAGCTGGAGCTGGAGCTGGAGCTGGTTGGTTGGTTGGTTGGTGGGTGGGAGGGAGGGGAGGGAAGGAAGGGAGGGAGCCCAAGCCCACAAGACGCTAGTCTAGCGCCCTTTTTGGTTTTTTGGTTTTTCGGGGCCCGGGTTGGGTGGGTTTCGATGGTATTTTTTTGTATTTTGTGGGGCGAGACTGATGAGAGAGACCGAGTACGCTGTAGTAGTAGTATAGTAGTAGTATAGTATGCAGCGTAACTTGTAAGTAAGTGAGTACACACCGACACACAGACAGCGACACAGCATCCATAGTTATGTACAGTACAAATGAATGCAAGTATACAAGCTCCCTCCTTTAGCATTTCATGATGTGAATGTGGCCCTGTACAGCGTAGTTTTTTTCTTTTTTTCTTTTTTCCTTTTTTTTTTCCCCCCCCTAAAGTCTCAGCTCCTGTGAAGCTATTATTAATAACAGCCGCTATAAGTGAACATACAATAATAGCTATCTAGGCAGCCAGCTAGTTACAGCGTAGCTCAACTCAACAGCTCAACAGCTCTAGGGCTGCACTCACCGGGATGGAATGGAGACGGAGAGACGGGGAGAGTCTATACTTCACCCGGTCCAATGAGTCAGCAACTGCAGTGTGATACCACTAGCCTCATCCAGCTAGTCTCATCACACTGCAGCTGCTGGGAACTGCGCAGATGGAGCCACTCGGCAACAGTAGCCGCGGAGTATTATGCTGTAATAATAAAGGGTGAGAAAGAAAGCGAAAGAGCGGACGAGACAGAACCAAGGTTTGGCGAAGTTCCCGTTGAGCTGGTTAACTTTTGACTTGGGGGGGGGTCTCTTTATTATTATTCCCCAAGCACCAAGCACCAACCATCAACCAACCCCTAACCCAACCACCAAACCATCCCCAATTCCCATCCCCATCCCCATTCCCATATTCCCATATTCCCATCCAGCTCCTTGTCTCCTTCTCCTCCTTCCTCCTCCTCCTCCTCCTTCCTCCTCCTCCTCCTCTTCTTCTTCTTCTTCTTCTTCTTCTTCTTCTTCCTTTTGCTGTCTCTTTCCTCTCTCTCTCTCTCTCTCTCTCTTCTCTTCTCTATTCTCTCTTCTCTGTCTGTGTGTCTCTGTCTGTCTGTGTTTCTGTCTTGTTCTTGTGTCTTTGGCCTGTTCTCTTGTTCTGTCCTGTCTGTGGTGTGTGTCTCTTCTCTTCTCTTCTCTTCTTCTCTTCTTCTCTTCTTCTTCTTCCTCCTCCATCTCCGTCTCTTCTTACTCAGCCGTCCTTTCTCCACCTCTCAACCTCACCTCAGCTCACTCACCTCTTCCTCACCCTATCCTATCCTGTCCTGTCCTGTCCTGTCCCATACACATCTCTCGTCTTCATCTCTTCCATATCTCTATCTCTCTCTCTCTCTCTCTCTCTCTAGGCGTCGGGATTTCTGAGTGCTCCCACTCCTTCATCTCCCTTTTCTCATTCTTAACCCTTCCACTTCCCTTTCCATTCCTCCTGCGCGCGTCTGCGAGCTTGCATCTCTCTCCTCCCTCTCTCTCTCTCTCTCCTAGCGTTTGGCTATAGTGCTGCTGTCAGGAGGCAGAAGCAGAAAAGTGAAAAAGAAAAGAATACCAGAACGAACGAACGGACGAAGGGAACGAAAAAGAAAAGAAACAAAAGAGAAATATACTGGTCGAAAGCTCTCTCTTTTTTGCGTCGGTCTCCATTCAACCAATTTTTTTTCTTTTTTAATTCTCTACGTTTGCTTGCTAGTTTTGCTTGCTTGCTTTGCTTTGCTTTGCTTGGCTTGGACCAGACCAGACCAGACCAGCTATACAATCAAGATCAAACCTACGCTCGACTTCTTCTTCTTCCTCTCCTCCCTCTCTTCCTTTATACCTCTTCTCCCTCATCAAGTCCTTTTTTTTTTTTTTTTCCCCGTCATCTCATTCCTCTTCATATCCCTCATCTTTTACCTTCTTTTCCCCCACCTTCACCTCTTGGGAACCTTTCTTTCTCTCCAGCTTCATTCTGCTTCCCGTACGTATTTCTCCTCTTCTCCCTCCCCTCCCTCCCTCTTCCTATTCTTTGCCTATTCTTTGTTGTCCTACCTACCTCTATCCTTCTCTCTCCCTCCATCCCATTTGTCCCCCCTCCGGACTGCTCCATTAGTGGCACATTCTCTGTCATTATCCAGTCGTAGTTCAATCCTCCCGTCGCTCACAACCGCTTCATCTTGTCCAGAAAACACTCGATCGAATCTCTCCTCCCCCCCCGGGTCTTATCCAAATATATATCTTCGCAAGTCGTCTCTCGTCGAGCCTGCCTGTATAATTGCCTTCTTCTGTCTGAGTTAGCAGCCTTTCCATTCGATATCTTTTCTTGCACGATATATATCCATCCATCCATCCATCTATCCACCTATCCATCCATCAGCCCACAGTTTTCTTTTCCCTTCTACGCAATGGCTGAAAACGCCCCGTCCACCACTTCTTCTACCCTTCCTCCCCCTCCCCAACCCTCTGCAGGTGCCCCTGGTCAGCAACAGTTCGATGGGTCCCAGGGCAACGGGCAGGGAAATCCAGCACACATGCCTCCGCCCCCTCTTCCCCCCGTCGTGATCCCTCAGAACACCAATCCGATTCCAACTGCGATCACCTCTCCAATGTCCGGCAACATGATGTCCCCTACCAGCACTGGCGGCTTTGTCCGTCGAGCTGCTCCCGAACCAAACAAGCGCGCTCTGTATATAGGAGGCCTTGATGCTCGCGTCACCGAAGACATCTTGAGACAGATTTTTGAAACCACCGGGCACGTGCAGAGTGTCAAGATCATTCCCGACAAGAATGTAAGCAGCTACCACGGCTGTCACCGGACTTTCCGCCTCCCGTGCCCTTCACTGGACTCGCTAACATTTGTTTTTTTTTTTTTTTTTTTTTTTTTTTTTTTTTTTTTTTTGGCTTTTAATATTTCCTTTCTGCTATCCAATGTCACTACTGCACTACACACTAAATTACCACCCACCTACTTATCTTTGAAAAACATGCCTTACTAATAATATTCTTTTGATTTCCACAGAGCAAGGGTTTGAACTACGGTTTCGTGAAG